TTTGAAGACAATGGTACCTTGTTTTGAACTTCAAATTATCATTTAAAAGTGCAAAATTTAGACATTTTCTCAACAAATGGTTGTAGAGAGAACATTAATACACAGTTTGCATATTTTTTTGGATTTTTTAAGGCTCTGCTGAATTCTGTAGCTGCGCAATTCTAAGGAGCATATCAAAAGCATTTTTCTGCAAAAGTATAGATTATATAAGCACAACATGCATTCGGTTATGCATATTTATTGTATCTTTATCAAAAAGACTTAAAATTTGATCAAAATATAATGTATTTTAGCCATTTGAAGAAATGTTTACATTTTGCTCTCACTGCACTAAAAGTGGCCGTACATCCCCCTTAAAACACCATTAGTGCGAAACGAAATGGCATATACAATTTAGCGTAAACATATAGTGTCTAAAGGGCAATAAGAATTACATAATGAATTACATCTTGCGTAAAATATATTACTGAAGCAGTGCTTTATTTCTTCTGATATATTGAACAAACACTATCAATTTCCTTCATGGCACTGATGTAACAGCGAAGGACTATTTATAAAAGTAGAAAGCATAAAGGAGATATAATTGTTGTGAAATGCAGAAAATGACGCACACAACTGTGTTAACTTAAGTAATTTCTTACTTGATTCTTTTATCTTAATGATCATGTTAATCAGATTTTTTTCAATTAAAATTTGTTCTTCATTGCCAAATCTATTCCTGAATTAAAGACCTATCAGTCTGAGAGTAATTACGGTGTTTTGCTCTGTTCAAATTGCTTTGACATGAATTACAGTGCATGTAAACTGTAATGGATATAACCTAAATGTTGAACCCCACTTAAAACTTACCAAATTCAACCAGCAATTTGTAGTGATTATCTGATTCTTTTCATCCTACAAAAAAAAGGATGTCATATAAGAAAAAATCTAGTAGTATTTCTAAGAAAAGATAATCTAATGAATGCGATTCATTTTCTATGAATACATCCAAGAAACGACGCTCAAGAGCAATAAAAATATATTTATATCATTTTAATGCTTTACAATCAGTGTTATAATATAAGTATTCGACAAATTTGAATAATTATAAAGCTGATGATACATTTTATATCATAGACAACATTTTATTAGGTTATTACAGCATAATAAAGTCGCATTATGAATTATACATAAACGAAGATACAATAGTATTTATGGGGTTCTAACTCATTCCAAAACAAACGAAACAAAATTAATCCCACGATTAATATTTTTGTTTGCAATGAAGTGTTAATATTGTCATTACAGATAAATTCAATGCAAAATCTTGGACATTTTTCAGGTTCAAGCCTTAAAAGTGATAATCCCTAGGACGGGAATCCTTCACTAATGATGACCTACCGCTCTAAAGACACAGGTAGTTAATTTACCTCTAAGTTTTAGATATATTTAACCAATTTTAAGTTTGCTTTAAATTTCTTTGACAGTTTTTGATATTCAGATGTTGATTAGGAAATATGATTACACGACAAGCTTATCCTTATGATGCTAGCTGTTGTACAAAACCTAACAAAAATATATTTCTTTAATACCTAAGTCGAAGTATCGATTCTGCTGTGCGGTCTTTAAATTAAAGCCTCTCAAGAAAAGAGACATTTCAGTCGACCTAAACACAGTGACGTTGCGCACGGTGTTGGTACTATAATATCTAACTCTTAATGTCGCAAAGAAATTGGCGGTTTCGCGATGTCATATTTACTTTAAATTAAAAATAAAATCATTTATGTTATCTAAAGTAACGAATTATTCTTAAAATTTTCTTTTAAATAATTTAAAATTATTCTAACTATGATGAGACGTTACTCAATATTGGTCATTTACGGCGAAATTCCCGTGTCCTACGTTACATCAATTATTGTTCGCACAACAAAAAGGTATGAAAAAATGCACTTACAATTCTCTGAATTAAATGAAATTTAGGGGGTAGAATAAAATATATGCATTCTTTAAGATATTGTTGAGTTTTTAACATCATTTTATCGATTTCGTGAATTAAACTGGATCTACAGTGCGTAAGTAAAATGTCCAACAGTAAGAAATCGGTTTCTTACACTGACATTAGCCGAAATGGAGATATGTACCAGACATAAATCCCAAACAAATATTAATTTTGGTGAATAATCTTTTAGTACATATATTTCTTAGATTAATTGAATTGATACATTTTATATTACTTTTCCAACGTAAATATTAGGAAGGTTTTCTTAAGTGTAGCCATTTTGTTATGCACGCAGGAGTCACTGTATTGTTACTAAATATGTCTCAGTAACATATCAAAAATATATAAATTAATGTAAGATATAAAGCAATCATGTATGTAGCTTGAAAGAACATTTAATGCTGCATTTACTAATTACTCAATCTTTACATTAATGGTCTACATGAAATAAATGCAAGCATCAATAAAAGTGTAGCCATTTTGTCACATGTACGAAAAACGTCATTTTACGCAATGCGTACATATAACGTCGGGAGTGTCAAATTATTATCGCCGTGGCTTTTTTCATGCAGGTCCGTAGTACCAACTCACAGGTACTTGTGTACATGCAGCCCCACCCACCCCCAGTATTCAACCCCGGAGCTTGTTGGAGATTTTTTCACAAATTATATTTATTACACTTAATCATCATGTGTACATGTATCAAAGGAAAAAATTATGAAAACCCTAAAATGATATTATTCCACAAAAATACCCTACTAAACGAAGTACGCATTATAAGCCCCCCTCCCCTTCTTTCACCAAAAATAATACATGTAAAAAGATTTTAGAATTTTCGTGATAAACCAGATTTTCAATAATGGTGAAACGTCTCCATCCCTCCTTTTTTCATCCCCTCAAATCAATATACTAAATTGATACTTTTTTTTAAAATTCAAAATGACACCAGTTCCATTGAACATGTTGAAAAGTAGGAAGTATAAAAATTTTAACTCTCATTTTTTCTCTATACACCCAAAGCGCATGCGGACGTTATATAGAAATAAAAGACTTGTAATGACCTAACTGAAAAAAAAATTGAAGGAGGTTGAAAGGGAAAACTGCTTATATATTTTCTCCTTATAAGACAGACAAGTGAGAAAAATAGAAAGAGGAATATTCACTGAGTGCCTTTGGCATTTTAGTAATCAAAATTTAATTATTAAGATTTATTAATAAACATCTAAATATTTCAAAAAAGAAGGTTCAAACATTGAACATTATGTGCCCTTTTATTTTATTTTTTTTTATACTTTTGAAAAATAAAATTCATTTAAAGATCTAAAAATATGCATGTATAAGATTCAAAACGTTATAACAACGTTATGACTATTTAACGTTACTTTGACGTAACGTCAATGTGTACCAACACCGTGCGCAACGTCAGTATATTCACAATCTTCATAGCATTATGTGGTAGCCACTAGTTTTACAGATTATTAACGGGAAAAGTAAAGACAGAACGCATTTGTCAGTAAGCAGATTATGCCAATCCAAGAAGATGGGGAAGAAAAAATGTAATTTAAATGACTTTTGTTTCTTTTTTTCCTTTTCTATGCCTGCAAAGGCTAAAATATAAAGCCATCATCGACCCATTTTATTTTTAAACTTCCAAAAATAAAACAGAGCGAAAATTTCTCTGTTTAAAGTGCATATTTATATAGGCGCTGTATAGGACTGAAAAAAGTGTAAAGGCCGTAAAATAATGAATACTCCCTACCACATCTATGATCTGCGCCAGAGCGACACTGAAGTTGACTGTTGTAGGGATCGTGTGATTGACAGAGGGGCGGATCCTCTTATCATATCTAGCCATTAGGTCCCGGATCAGACGAAACTCATTCTCATCCGCGCTCACTGGGACAAACGCTAAAATGAAATATTATATATATCAGAGCATTCAAGGTTGTTCATTTTCAGGCAAGGAAAAGCAACTCTGGAAATTTTCAAAGATTAGACACTTGTCGTTTACTCTATGAACTATGGATAAAAAAATATAAGGAAAGATTAATGAATTTTATGTAAATTTCGATAACACAAGTAATTTTGATCTCCGGAGTACAATCGTTATCTTTTTTGGGTCACATGTAAATAGAAGCATGTATGAATTTATGAAATAATCTTTAATTAAAGATGGCGCATGCTTTTTACATCTAACAAATGATAAATGCATAAGCAGTTTAAGTTCAAAGAAGGGAATGAAATATAAGAAATTTGTTCAAGTTCAAAAGTTCATTAAACACTACAAAATTGGAGCAGAGCAAACACGGACCTCCAAAACATCAGAGATGGGATCAGTTGCAATTGAGGAGTGAGAATTTCCTGCATGTCGACCGGTCATGATCAGGAAAATAATGAAAAATCCGTCGATAATTTAGTGTGTAAATAATGACCTGATAATTAGTACGAAAAACGTCAGCCAGCAAATATCTAAATCTGGAAAAATGAAAATAAAATATTGCCGAGTAAATGAATACTCTTTTGCCAAGACAGATACCTGTTTATTATCAATGAAAAAAAAATAGAGTTATTTTCCTTTCTTAATTATTATCCAAGAAAACAATTGTGAGTGTATATGCAATTTTTTTGAAAAATAAAAAATCCATATTATGCATTATTTGTAATAAGAATTAAGATGATTCATTGCTGTAAATGCAAAAAGAACATTTTAATAATACTAATATTTAAAAAGGTTGCTATCACCACAAACCCAGAATATGAATAAAAAACATACAATTCCAAATCTTTCTGAAATGAAGAAATCTCAATGACATTTAAGTTCTTTTCTGAATATGAAGTAATGTAAGACAAATTTATAAAGATACCTTTAATTAATCATTTTAAAGATATCTTCTTCATTTATTTTTTTTTTCGCTAAATAAAATCATTCTCTGAATATCATTTAAAGTTTGCTAATAACTTTCTTGAAGTTGAATACAAAGTATTGGTGGAAGGCACCTTTTTTCTTGCCAAAATATTATAATAAAAATAAATTTAAAAAAAATTATGAACAGATTACCTTTTAATAGGCAGAAGAAGAATAGGTAAAAGGAAACTAAAATCTTGTTCTGTAAAAATGTTTCCATATCTGTCGAACGAAAAACAAATTAATGTTGAAAGATGTATAGAAGGCTTTTAAAAGATCATATATCTTATAGAGAAAAAAACCTATGGGTATATATTTAAATTAGCTTCACACGACACTGTCTTTCTCTAAAACACACGTACATTAAGTTAGCTAGAGATGATAAAAAATAAGAATAAAAAACATTTCCTTTTATTTAATTCTTTAAATCTCCTCAAAATCATCTTAAATTGAAGTATTTAAGCAAAGCAACATTTATCTGTGCTCCGCTATTCATTAACGTCAGAACTTTTTTGCATTTGTTTGCGACAGAATGAACTTAATTCCCAGAAAGGCAATAGCGATCTCATGATTCTTAGCTTCAAATGAATGGTCTATTTCGGTAACGATTTTCAGTTTACTCGAGTTTATTGAATTCAAGCACTTTGCTTTTGTGCGTTTCTCCAAGAAGTTAACGAATCTGGAAAAGTAAGAATCTGAGAGAGAAAACAATTTCCTGATGCGATTTTTGTCGTCTCTTTCACAAATGGACCTTGATAATTATTTCACCATTAACGTGCTTCGCAATCACACGGTCTCAAAGGATAACCAAGAAAAATATTTAAAGAGGAAAATTAAGAGAAAACAAAAAACACTGTCTACCTTATAAAAAATTATTGAAAGATTAATTAATATTTATGCATGTACTTTGTCGCACTAGAGGAAACATTACAACCATGACACTTTAATTTTAATTCCATATCTTGGATGATAATTAATAAAAATCAAATAATTTATTAACTTTCATGGACTGATATGTCACATTAGTCTTACAAAGAGATAACATGAATGGTAGAAAATACACGAGCGAATTCGAACCAATTAGTAATTGTACATTGAGACTTCGTCGATTGATAATAGTATTATTACATATGTCATTGTTCCATTCAGAATCTCTCGGCGGGATCAGATATAGCAAGTGAATATTATTCTGCTTTCTAGAATTCTGCGACAATATCAATTCATTTATATTATGTAGTACGTAATTGATTCTTATCTACTACATATATACAGGATATTAAGATGAATATCAGTCTAATAATAACTTTAAACGAAATCATAAGCAAGACTTTCTTTTAATAGTTTTCTCATTTTTCATCTTTTTCTGAGAACTTTTTAAATGCCTGATATATTAAGTACTTTATAAGAAAATGAATTTTTATTCTAATCCTAAAAGCAAATAAAAATTAATAAGTAAAATCATCACTTACTATATCTAAGCACAGCCCTTTAATGTCCAGTATGAAGAAAAATGATTTGAACTGGCATAGTACAGTATTTAGCAGCTTCCTCAAGGGCAGGTTCTAGATTAGTTTTATCCCTCCATTTCATATCATTAATTTATCTTTTTTACGGCACCTGGCGCCCACCATCACTGATTTACACGCTTAATTTGTCAATTTTCCATCTCTTTCTTCCCGTTTTATAAACTTTTAGTCATCGCTTTTCTTGCCTGGTTAAGACTGAAAGAAAATACGTTTAGATTAGCAACAGATTGTCTAGAACCGCCCCAGCTTTGCTAATGTGTCGATATTTTACTTCTTCTTTATCAG